GCCAGGCCTCCTCTGCAGTTTTGTAGGCATGGGACGGGGGTGGGGTGGGGTGGGGGTTGGCTCTGGGCGAGCCGTGGAGACGGGTGGGAGGAGCGTGTCCACGGAGGTCATCCCCAGTTCTGGCCCGGAGGGTGGAGGGTCACGTCACCTTGGGGCACAGCCCGGGGAGGTGAGCAGCGGGGAGTCCCGGAGCTCGGGGGTTCAGGAAGAGGGGGCAAGCGAGGAGGGGCTGGAGGAGGCTGGGGTCAGGGGGCTGGGTGGGGGAGGCCGGGTCGGGTGCCGTAGCCGGGCTGAGCATGCGCAGGACGGCCCAGGACGGGCTCGGGGCCAGGGCCAGGGGCCTCCACGGGCGGCGAGGGCCTGTCTGGCAAGAGGACAGGAGGCCGCAGGCAGGTGCCGGTGGGGCTGTGGCTGTGGCCGGGGTGGCCCGGGACCGCTGGGCACTTGCTGGGGATGGTTACCAGGGGTCGTGGGCCAACGGCACAATGTGGGAGACAGCAACTGTGGCCTCAAGGGCATCAGGCAGTGGGCTGTTGGGAGCCCCTGGGCTGAGGAGGGCGTCCGGGTGCGGGGTGGCCTGCAGTGGGAAATGGGAGACAGTGGCTCTGCACCCAGGGTGCCGACTAACCATGTGGGTGCCAGGCTGTCAGAGGAATGAGAGGAGGGGGGAGGGGGGAATGCAGCACCCTCCTGGGGAGGGTTCCTGAGGGCTACACCCGGTGCTCCTTGCAGGCGGTGACCTGGGCTTGTGCCTCTGTCCCTCCCCTTCCTGACCTGGTGCGGAGCAGGTGCAGGTGTGGACCCGGCCAGGTGCCAGGAGGTCGGGTCCCTGTGGTCCTGGGCTCCTGGTGGGGGGGGACAGCCCCCGGGTGTCCTCCTGGCCGTGTGCTCCCGCCCCCAAGGCGAGAGCCTGCCGCCCAGAGGGCCCTGGAGCCAGTGCTCCCAGCAGTGCCAGAGGCGGCTGAGCGCCACCACCCCGAGTGGCTCCATCCCTGCCCAGCGAGGGCCCCTATGGCCCGGGGACGTGGCCTCCCCTCCTCCCGCGGCGTCACCGCAGGCCCCTGTCTCCCCTGCCCCGGCCCCGACCCTCCGCCGCGAGCCCCCACTGCCCCGTTTCCAGCAGGGTCAAGCCTCACCCTGAGCCGGGCACACGGCGCCACTGGGACCACGTCCCCGTGGGTGCCACCGTCCCTGCGTCCCTCCCACACTGTAAACCGGGGTATGACGGTGGGCGGGGAACGGTGGCCGTGAATCAGTGTCGCTCGGCTAATCGGATCTCAAAGGGCAGCAGATAGGAGGCCGCAGGCTCCAAGGCTCGGCCCGGGTGTGACCGCAGGGAGTGGCCTCTGTCGCCGCCGCCTTCAGACCTGGCGTCTGTCTGTGTTGACTCACTCCCCCCACCCCGGGCTGCTGCGCACAGGGTGCCCCAGCTACAGGGTGATGAGGGCGGGCAGTGCCGCCCGTGCGGGGCCGGGGGACGCCTGAGACACCCGCGGTGCTGCTCCTGCGGGATGGGCACGGACCGAGACGCTGCAGAAGCCCCGAGCTGACTTGGAAGGAGGGTGAAGACGATGGCGGATCTAGCGCAACAACATACTCTCTAACTTTTGAGTTTGTATGTTTGGAAGCTCAAGCCCAGAACGTATATGGCCTCTTTCATTTTTAATTAAAAAAAAAAATATTTTTTAAGAGAGAGAATGGAGGGGGTGCAGCAGCAGGAGGTGGGAATCTTAGCCAGACGCCACACTGACTGTGGAGCCCCAGGTGGGATTCGATCTCAGGACTCTGAGATCGTGACTTGAGCCGAAATCAAGAGCCAGTGGAACCACCCGGGCGCCCTGGCCCGTGTTCAGCCTTCAGGGGAGGTCAGCGAGGCCACTTGTTCTGAGGCTGGACCGGACAAGAACTCTCCTTTTTTTTTTTATTTTTTTTAAGTTTTTTTTTTTTAATTTTTATTTATTTATGATAGTCACACACACAGAGAGAGAGAGAGAGAGAGAGAGAGAGAGAGAGAGAGAGGCAGAGACACAGGCAGAGGGAGAAGCAGGTTCCATGCACCAGGAGCCCGACGTGGGACTTGATCCCGGGTCTCCAGGATCGCGCCCTGGGCCAAAGGCAGGCGCTAAACCGCTGCGCCACCCAGGGATCCCTGGACAAGAACTCTCCTGACCTTCACTTTTGCTTTTCTGAGATCGAGGTATAATCGGCGTTCGACACTGTGCCAGTTTCAGGCGTGCAACACGGCGCTCCGCACGCGTGCACAGGCAGTGGGGTCAGCGTCAGCCGCCACTCGGACGTCGCCTTGTCACCCACCCCTGGCTGCCCTCGGCTCTACGTCGGTTGCTGTGCGTCCGGCGGGCCGGGCAGCATGTGAGGCGCTCGGGGGTCGCGGCCTGCACTCGGGGTCCCCGTCCCGGGGCCCGAGGCACGAGGTCCTGCCAGGTGTGTGGCCGAGGGCGGCGCCGGCCTGCTGGTCCCACGGACGTCCCGTCCCTGGACAGAGAATTTGCTGTTTCCCTTTTCTGGGTTGCAGCGGCCGTGACCGTGGGTGGCAGCGGCTCAGCAGGGGAAGCAGGCGCGTTCGGGGGCCGCGCCTTCCGGGGCCAACCTCACAGGGACTTTCGGGGGCTGGTGGTGATGACGAAACCGGTTACTAAGAAACCTGTAGCCGCACAGCGCAGAGCAGGGTGGCCCGCGCCTGCGGGGCTGGTGCATTTGCTCGGGAACGGGCTGGCGCAGCTGCTGGCTTGTCCTCGTGGACACGGCGTGGACCGGAGGCCAGGGCGCTCGGGCCTCGGGCTGCCAGGCTCCTCGTTCTCAGCGGGGCTCCCCGGGGACCCCGCCCCTGGACCCTCTTGGTGCAGGGGAAGGGAAACCGGGTGTGTGGTCTGGGCCTGCGCCCCTCCTGCAGCTGGTCTCCTGGGGGGGCACCTCACTGCTGGGGTCGGGGTTCGCGCTTGCGGGTGAAGGACGTGCCGGGTGCCAGCTGGGGCTGCAGGCAGGTAAGATGCACCCCACGGGGTTTGCCTGTGGCTTTGAGGTTTGCACTTGAGGCCGTGGGGCCCACTTGGCAGGAGCCCAGGGTCTGCGGCGTGCAGGGCTCTCGAGGCTCTGCCCCTGACCCCGGGGGGCCGCCTTCTCTGTCCTCACGCCCTGTGCTGCCCCCGGCTCCCTGGCTCGGGCAGGTGGAGCAGCGAAGACCCCTCCTCTGTGGTCCTGTGCCGACCCCGCTGTGCCCCAGGAGCACAGTCCATCCTCTGCGGGATGGGCCTCACTTTTTTCCTGGGGTCTCGTGCAGCCAGAAGCCAGGGGTGGGCGGCTGCGGCCTCATGCGGGGCAGGTGGGCTGTGGTGAGAGCCTGTCCCGGCCTCGGGGTTCCCCAGGGAGCCCCAGACCCCGCTGCGAGGGGGCCAGAGGGTGAGCGGAGGCAGGCTGACGGCATGGGTAAGCAGCAAAGCGGATTTTTTTCATTCCTGCCCAGTGTTTATTACCTGTGCTCCGTTTGTGTGCGGAAAACCCCAGACAAAGGCTCGATCCTGCAGAATGAGGCCCAGACGCACGGCCACGCTGCGGGGTCGGGCCCCGGGATGAGGCGGCTTGGATGCGGGCTGGCGAGCTGCGGAGGGGTGTCACTCGGCGGGGGCAGAGGGTGTAGGGGAAACAGGACCCCGAAGTGTCTGCAAAGCCAAAGCCTGAATCTGCCCTGGAAAGACGAACAGCAGTGAAGGAACCTCGGAAATGCGAGCATGGGGAGCAAGGTGCCCGGCGACGGGAGTGGGACTCGGGGTGTCACCCCCCGATGGGTCGGCCGGTTGGCGTTCCCGTGGCTGGAGGCCAACGGGCCCCTGCTGCTCCCTGCAGACATGGGGGGATGGATGCTGCGCGCCAGACCCGGAGAGGTTAATTCTGGCCTGGAAGCCGCTGGAATTTGCACATGTGTTAGCCATAAAGGCTTTGCTGTCGCCCACCCGGCGGCTCCCAGGCTAAGGCATTGGAGTTGCGCGCGGAATCAGGGATGGGAAGCCCGAGCGTGGGCCGGGGCGGCCAGGTCACGGGGGCTTCCTGCCTTCCACTCCCCCTCCTAGTGGCCCCGCAGGGTCAGGCCGCCCTTCCTCGCCCCAGGAGGAGAGCCGCGTCCCCTCGGTCCCGTGGGGCTCTGGCCGCGGGCGTCCCCGCACCCCCGCCTGGCTTCCTTCAGGCTAAGTGACCCGTCCTCCACCCTCTCGCTGGCACCCTGGCTCCCACCCTGCGGGGTTTCCCCGTCCCTGCTAGAACCCAGGGCCACAGTGCAGAACGGGACTGGATTTTCCAGCAGCTGGAAGGCCCTGAGGATCGGGGGGGTGCGAGAGCCCCCAGGCTGTGCAAGGGCCCTAACCTTTCGCTCCCGGCCTGCCGGGACCCTCACCCCTCTCCGGCAAGGAGGGCTCCCCAGTTTCATTGGTTGAAGGGGCAAACTGGAGAAAAAGCCTTTCCACTTGGGGATTTTCCTTTTTTTTTTTTTTAAGATTTTATTTATTTATTCATGAGAGAGACAGAGAGAGGCAGAGGTGTAGGCAGAGGGAGAAGCAGGCTCCATGCAGGGACCGGATACAGGACTTGATCCCAGGACCCTGGGGTCACGATGGCCTGAGCTCGCTCCACTGCCGAGTCGTGCCCCCCCCGCCCCCATGCCCTGGCTCCAGGCCCCCCACGCTGTGGGGTTTTCCTGCTTTGCACTCGCAGGCCCCTGAGCTGGGCATGCAGATGACCGCGCCCCTGAGCACCGCAGACCCGGGTCGGGGCAGGACCCTGAAAGCCTGAGCCTGCAGGCCTGGCCCCGAGGCCTCAGCCGCAGGCACGCAGACCCCCCAGCAGAGGCTGGGGAGCACGTGGAAGCGGCCCGCCCGCCCTGCCCGCCCTGCCCCGAGGCGGCTGTCTCCACTTCCCGGCTGCTGAGAAGCCTGAGCCTCCTCCCGCGGCGGGCGGGCGGGGGAGGGAGGCTAATTCGTGTCAGATGGAGGGGCGCCGGGGCCCGTGCTCGCTCGCCTGGCTTTTGTTCCCGGCCTCTGACTCCTGACGGGGCCGTGGCTGTGGGAGGCCGCGGGGAGGCCGCTGCGCCCCTGCCCGTCTCCAGCCGTGCTTGGCGGGAACTTCAGGCGCGGGGCCCCCGCTCAGTGCCCGCCAACTGGGGGGCTCCTGCCCGGGCGGCCATGCGGCTGCGCGCCCTGACCTCGGGGCCGCCTGGAGGCTGTGCTCCCCAGGCCCGGCCGCGCCGGCACCCACGCCAGGTGAGTGGGTGCGAGCCGTGGGGGTGCAGGGGGGGGGCGGGAGCTGGGGAGCCGGGTCTCTGGGAACCAAGCGCTTTTGGGTCAGGGCGCCTGCGAGTGTGCCCTTGTCGGTGCACATTGGCGTGTTTCTGTGCACGCGGGCACCTTGCATGGCCCGCAGGGGGTCGAGGCGGGAGGCAGGCGCCCTGGGGAGCGCACGTGGGGGACAGTCGGGGGCCAGCTGTCCGATGCAAGTGCCGTTTGAACACTCTCCCCCGGACTCCTCTCCTGGGGTGGGAGTGGGACGCTGGCCGCAGCCCAGATTCCCCCCAAGGGAGGGGGCCCCCAGCCTGCTGGTGCTGGGGCTGTGCCGACTGCCTCCCCAGGGCCACGCCGCCCTCCTGGTCCAGGAGACGCCCCGGGCCCCGCTGGCTCCAGCAGCCGTCCCTCTGAGCCTGGTAATTAGGCATTTATTACATTTTTTCCCCTGGAAACTTGTTCTGAGAAATGAAAAGTCGCAGCGGCGGCTACTTCCCGTCACTGTGGCCTCCCCGCACGCGCGGGTGTTCGGCGTCAGGGCGACACCATTGCCGGGAGCCTGGGGACAGTGTGTGGTGGTGGAGGGCGTCCACGGCTGTGTCCTCTGCGGCCGGCGGCCGGACGGCCCAGCGGGCATCGTCCCGGAGAGGCGGGGGGGCCCCTGTGTCCGTGCATGAAGGTTGGTCTGTGTTTTTGGCCGGGGTCCGCCCCCGGGAATGACACCTGCGGTTTCCCGGCCCTGGAGCTTGCGCCTAAATCCTCTCTCCCAGGCCCGGATTCTGCTGATTTGGCCTTTGTGGGGGTCGCTGTTGTGCTGCCGTGACTGCACCCGGGGGACCCACGGAGAGTTCTGTGCAGCTTCGCATTCCGCAGCGCACAGCAGAGCCTTACCCGCAGGCGCACGGGGCGCTTTCCCTTTGCTCCATTTTGCAGAGATTTTTTTTCCTTCTGTAAAAGGACCTCACAGTCAAGACGGGTGCTGATGACTGGGTGCCCCTCGGGGAGTCCCGGGGAATGGGCAGCCCCGCGCACTGCCCTTCCAACTGTCTGCTCCTAACAATTAAATGCAATTTAGATTCCTGAACTGAGCCTGCCCAAGGCCCCGCCTCGCAGCTCCCGCCCCCGGCACGCTGCGGCCCCACCTCCCCGGAGCAAGGAGAAAGGAGCACGGCGTCAGGTGAGAACAAAGGCTAATCCCGCCGGCTCACCTCACCCCGGGGATGTTCTGTGCGGGTGACGCGGGAGCAGAGGCCTGGACTCAGGGATGGGCCCGCCCAGCTCAGCGCCTCACTGGGGAGCCTGCAGCCTTCTAGCCGCGGCCCAGCGGGCAGGAAAGCCGCGGAACACAGTGCCTCTTTCTCCCTGGGTGGAATAAAGGTATTTGGAAGGAATAAAAGGTCCCAGTGTCCCCCAGTTGGCCCACTGACTGGGGCTGATTCATGCCCCGTTAACAAACGGTGATTGAGGGTCCAAGGCCCACTGTCTGCAGGCGCTGTGCAGGGGCTGGGGACGCGGGGGAGAGCCCTGTGCCCCCCGATGGAGCATGCACGGGAGAGAAGGCACAGAAACAAGCCACCCTGACACGCGGGGGAAGGGATGTGCCAGCTGGGGCACGGCCACGAGGTCTGTATTTTGAGATGTCTGAATGCCTGCTCCTGTCTGAGCGCAAGCCGGGGGGAGACGAGGCCTGAGCGCACAGCCTTGGACTTCGGCCGTGTGGTTTCGGTTTTGCGTCCTCCCGTCCCTGTTTGTGGGACTGGGGTGGTCATGGTTACGCACACAAGGGCCCTGCCGAGGTCCCGGGTTTCACAGTGGGAGCACCGAGGTCCCTGTCTTGCAGGCGCTGGGGGGCTCTCAAAGAGTTCAGTCTCCATAATGAGCACGTGATTGGGTGCCTTCTGTTTATGCAGGGTGGGTCCTTCTGGTGTGGTCCACGACATAGTGGTGGCGCCCAGTCCTGGCTACAGGTTGGCATCATGGGGTGAGTTTGGAAAAAAAATGTGTACTCTGGCCCCATCTCCAGATGGTCTGTCCTAACTGGGCGGGGTGGGGTTTACACAGAGTGGTTTCAAAAGCTGAGCAAGTGGGCAGCCCGGGGGGCTCCTTCAGCCCAGGGCGTGACCCCAGGGTCCCAGGATCGAGTCCTACATCTGGCTCCCTGCATGGAGCCTGCTTCTCCCTCTGCCTGTGTCTCTGCCTCTCATGAATAAATAAATAAAATGTTAAGAAAAAAAAAAAGCTGACCCGGTGATTTCTGTGGCTGCTGGTGTGCACGACTGGTACCAGGTATCTATAGTGTTTGGTCATTTACAGTAGCTCTGTTCCTAGGCGGGACGGGAAGTATCCTTTGGGTCCCCAAGTCCCTAGGCATGTGCCCGGGGCCCCGGAGCGTGCACTGCAAGCAGCAGAACCTGCATCCTGCTTGGTGCACGACACTGCCCCCTTAGCCAGGCTTGACAAGATCAGCAAAACTTCCCAAGATGCCTGACGATGCGACAAGCCTGCAGAGGAACTGGGAGTGGTCAGGTGGAACATGGGGACCTGTAAGCCGCCTGCACTCCAGACAGCTGGAATAGCAGGGAAGGTGGAGCAGCCAGAGCAGCCGCCCACATGGGAATCCCCCCTCTGCCGGTTCCAGGCCTTTGTAAGGCCAACCGGGGGACGGTAGCTGTGAGCGGTTAGGCCTTGGGTCAGGAAGTAAGGGGTTGTGGTCTGAAAACATCGAGTTGTGCACGTAAGCACGTGCAATTTTCAAAGTTGTTTTGGCCGTTCTTAGCTTTGAATGTAAACATGAATTTTAGAACCCATTTGCCGATTTATTTATTATTTAAAAAAAAATCCTGCTGGGATCTCCATTGGGATGGTGTGGAATCTGTAGGTTGTACGGAAGAACTGCATCTTGACTCGAGCGAGGCTTACCATCCATGAACATGGTATATCCCTCCGTTCCGTCTCCAGGTCTTCCTCACTTTCTTTCTGAAATGGTTTGTGTGTGTGTGTGTGTTCTTTTTTTTTTTTTTTAATATGTGGTTAGGTGAGAATCTTTTTTTTTTATTTTTATGTATTTTTTAAGAATTTTTTAAGATTCTTATTTATTTATTAGAGACAGAAATAGAGAGAGAGATAGGCAGAGGGAGAGGCAGGCTCCGTGCAGGGAGCCCGACGTGGGACACGATCCTGGGTCTCCAGGATCACGCAGGCCAAAGGCAGGCGCTGAACCGCTGAGCCCCCCGGGCTGCCCTGGTTTGTGTTTTTTTTTTTTTATTTTATTTTATTTTATTTTATTTTATTTTATCTTCTAGGTTTTTCATGTCTTTTGTTAGATTTACTCCTAAGACTTAATGTTTTTGATGATACTATAAATGGTAATATTCTTTGAGTTTCAGTTTCTGAATGTGCATTGCTAGGAAGTAGTTTGTACATCCAGTGAACTCCTGTCCTTCAACTTGGCTAAACTTCTTTGTTAATTCTAGAGGGTTTTTTGTACATTTCATAACTTTTTTTTGTTTGTTTTTATAGACAGTGGTGTCTGTGACTAAGGACAGTTTCACTTCTTCCTTTGCAAACTGGATACCTGGATACTTTTTATTTATTTTTCTTGCCCAGATGCACTGGTTAGTGTTAAATAGAAATGTTCACGGCGGACATCTGTGCCTCGTTCCAGAGCTTAGAGGGAAAGCATTCAGTCTGTTGTTGTTAATTTGGGGTTTGCTATAGGTTTTATCGACTTGAGGAACCTTTTCTCTATTTTGATTTGAGAGTGTTTATCAGAAAGTGTATGTTGGATTTTGTCAGACTTTTTTTTTTTCTTTTTCCTGATTAATTGGAAGATTGTGTAGGTTTCTTTTTTAGTTTATTATTTGGTATTTGAATGTTAAACCAACTTTGCCTCCCTGGGATAAATCCTGTTTGCTATGATGTATTATTTAGAAGTGTGTTGTTGGGGGCACTTGGGAGGCTCAGTGGTTGAGTGTTTGTCCTCGGCTCAGGTTGTGATCCTGGGGTCCTGGGATCCAGTCCCCCATTGGGCTCCCCGCAGGGAGCCTGCTTCTCCCTCTGCCTGTGTCTCTGCCTTTCTCTTCTCTCATGAATAAATAATAATAAAAAAATTATAAATGTGTTTAGTTTCCAAAAACTTGGGAATTTTATGGAGATCTTTTATTTATGGTTTCTAATATAATCCCGTTGTGATTGGAGAACATATTTAGTATGGTTCGAATGCTTTTAAATTTATTTAGACTTAAAAAAATTATTTAGACGTGTTTTATGTCCTAGACTGTGGTCTGCCTCATTAAACATTCCATATGTGCTTGAAAAGGATGTGTATTCTGTTGCTGTTGGGTCAGATAGTCTATCAGTGTCAATTACGTCAGGTCTTTTGAGAATGTTATGTATCTTTGGTTATTTCCTGCAATAACTATCAATTGTTATTATTGATAAAAATAATTATTAGTGATTGAGAACTGGTCTATTAGCTTATTGGGGCTGCTGTAACAAAATACTGTGGACTGCGGGACTTAAATGCAGTAATTTATTTTCTTACAGTTATGAAGGCTGGGAGTCCAGGATTAAGGTGCTGACAGCCTTGGTTTTCCTGAGGCCTTTTTCCTTAGTTTTTAGATGACTGCCTTCTCACTGACTCCTCAAATGGACTTTTCTCAGTGTGCAAGCCTCCCCACCTCCCCGCCCGTATCTCTTCCTCTTCTTGTAAGGGCAGCAGTCCTACTGGAGTAGGATCCCACCCTTATGACCATGTTTGACCTTATTCACCAGTTTAAAATGTCCCATCTCTACATACAGTCATATTCAGGGTTAAGGCTTTAACATACGAATTTCATGAGAGCACAGTTCAGTCTAAAAGAGAGAGAAACAGTTTCCTTTTTTTTTGTATTTTTTTTATTGGAGTTTGATTTGCCAACATATAGTATAACACCCAGTGCTCATCCAGTCAAGTGCCGCTGTCAGTGCCCGTCACCCAAGAAATAAGTTTCTGACAATATTTACACATTTGTCTATTTATGTCTTTGCAATTCTATCATTTCTTGCTTTATGGATTTTGAAAGTATTGTTAATAGGTGCATAAATGTTTAGGATTATATGTCCTCTTAATGCATATACCCTCTTATTGTGAAATCCCTTTCTTTATCAATAGTAACATTCTTTAATCTGGAATTGACTCTGTTTGATATTAATATAGCCACTCCAGCTTTCATTTAACATTACCCTTGTATGTTTTCTCTGTCTTGTCTTTATTTTATTTTATTTTTTTAAAGAGAGACACACAGAGAGAGGCAGAGACACAGGCAGAGGGAGAAGCAGGCTCCCTGCAGGGAGCCCGATACAGGACTCGATCCCAGGACCTCAGGATCATGACCTGAGCCAAAGGCAGATGTTCAACTGCTGAGCCACCCAGGCATCCCTGTCTTTTCACTTTTAGAAGAATATAATCTGACAACCATTGCCTTTGAGTTAAGGCATCTAAACTATGGACGTAATGTGACTACTAATACAGTTAGATTTAAATCATAAATTTGCTGTTTGTTTTGTTTCTTTTACCTAGTCTTTGCTCTGCTTTCTCTTTTCTGCCATGTTTAGATTAGTTGAACTTTTATTTAATTTTTTATTTTAAAAACTTTTATTTTTAAGTGATCTCTACACCCAATGTGGGGCTTGAACTCAGGGCCCGAGATCAAGGGTCTTGTGCTCCACTGACTAAATTAGTTGAAATTTTATTTTATTTTTTATTTTATTTTATTTTTTTTTAAACAAGGTTTTTATGTTTCATCTTTTATTTTATTTTATTTTATTTATGATAGTCACACACACAGAGAGAGAGAGAGGCAGAGACATAGGCAGAGGGAGAAGCAGGCTCCATGCACCGGGAGCCCGACGTGGGATTCGATCCCGGGTCTCCAGGATCGCGCCCTGGGCCAAAGGCAGGCGCCAAACCGCTGCGCCACCCAGGGATCCCTAGTTGAAATTTTAAAAAATAATTTCATTTTCTCTCCTTTGTTGGATTATTACCTATCACTCATTATTTTAGTAGTTGCTTTGAGATTTATAGTACATATCCCTAGTTTCTCACAGTCTGCTTCACATGAGAGTGTATGACTTCATGAATAGTATGAGAGCCTTGCAGTAGAACCTACATTTCTTTTTTCCTGAGCTTTGTACTGCTTTTCTTTGTTTTTTTTAATATTTTATTTGAGAAAGAGAGAGCTAGAGAGAGAGAGAGCAAGCACGAATGGCGGACAGAGGCAGAGGGAGAGGGAGAAGCAGATTCCTCGCTCAGCAGGGAGCTCAACACGGGGCTTGATTCCAGGACCCTGAGATCATGATCCATCCCGAAGGCAGACGTTTAACTGACTGAGCTACCCAGGTGCCCCTGTGCTGTTTTATCAGAAATTTTAGTTTTACGTCTGTTGAAGCTCACATTACATCACTATTAGTTTTTTAATTAAACAGTTAATTATCTTGTAGTGAGTTTTCAATATAAAAGAAAGTATTACGTATTTATCCACATACTTAACATTTCTGGTGCTGTTCCTTCTGTGTAAAGCGGTCTTTCCACTTGTGATCATTTTCCTTGCACTCAGACTATGTTTAACTTGTAGTATGTGTCATCTGGGGATGGATGTGTTTCAGCTTTTGCGTATCATAAGAATTTTAAAATTCACTTTACTTTTTGAATGCTGTTTTTGCTGGGTCCAGAATTTTAGGTCAGAATTTCTCTGGGCGCTCTCTGTCTCTCTGCCGTTTTCTCACTGGCTTTGTTCTCTGTGGGAAATCTGCTCTTGTGCTAATGGTTGGTCCCCTGTCGCATTGTGTCCTTTCCTTCCCTCTGGGGGGCCTTTACGATTTTCTGTAAAATTGGCCACACTTCTTGTACTTGGGATTTGTTGAGTTTCTTCAGTTTTTGGGTTGATAATTTTGTTTAGATTTTGGGAAAGTTTTAGGCTTTATTTTTTCAATTATCCCCCCTCCCAACTTTACAGAGCCTCCAATTACACGTGTGTTAGGCTGCTTGAACTTTCCCACAGCTCACTGATGCTCTGTCTGTTTATCTGTGTTTAATTAGGTGGTCTCTCCTTTCTGTACTTTATTCCGGGCAGTTTGTACTGTGATGTGTGCACACACTGCACACATGCACTCATCAGAGGGCCCTGTGCACATCTTAGGGGTTCCACGCGTCTGTTTCCTGGTGCTGTGGCAAGTGAACTCTTGCTGCCCTGTTTTGCATGAATGCTTAGCACAGTCTCCTCAGTCCCAGGTAGTTCCCTGGTCCCCTCCTTCTGTGCATCCTGGGGCCTTCCTTGATGCAGGAATCTGGGGCAGTCATGGAGCTCACCTCACTGTTTTCCTGCCTCTGGGGAACTGGAGAGATTTGTTTGCCTGTTCATGAACGTCCGATAAATAGTCATCACTGTGTGCTTTCCTCTCTGAGTTCTTTTGCTCGGCACAATAATTCATGCATGAGTTAGCAATGAGCTTTCGATGCTCATCCATGGTTAGTAGCATATAACGGTAGTAAGCTCTTCCGTGCTCCTGAACAGTGTTCCCCCGTAGGACTGTATTGCAGTTTGTGTACCCAGTCTCCTTTGGATGGGTGTTTGAGTTATTTTCTGTTTGGAAATCTTGCACCGTTAAGTAAGGCAGATCTGCCCATTCTTGCACAAAACTTTTGTGGGCATATGCATTCGTTCCAGTTCGTGACTCTAGGAGGGGATTGCTGAGTCACCAGATTGTTGTAGATATAAAAACATGTGTAAGAAGCTGTAGTTGTACCATTTGTTTCCCATTCTGGCTAACATTTAATCTTCCGGTGCTAAGTACCGGCTTCGGTGAATCTGTGCACTCAGAGGAGACGCTCAAACGTATCACCAATCGGGTAGACTGCCTGGCGTTTGGTTTCTCAGGCAAATTGAATTTTTGTAAGATCATCAGATAGGGCCATGAGCCCTGACCCTGCAAAGAGGGGTCTGGTGGGCGAGTGGTTCGTGTAGTCCCCGAGCCGGCGTGTGTCGTGGATTCAGTGCCGGGCCAGGTGTAGGGAGGAACCACATATCTTAGCACGCTGGCCTCACGTGAATGCTTCTCCGTCCGCGGAGGCCAGATGCATCCGGAGAGGCCCAGGGGCCAGGAGACTCAGTCACTAGCTTCCTCTGTTGGCTGAGCATCTTCTGGCAGTGCCTGTGGATGACTTTGTCATGGCAGTAGCTGTTGGCCTGCAGCGTGGACGCTAGTACACGGTCCCATAAGCAGTGCTGACGAGTGCGGTGCCCTGACGGCCTTGGCCCGGTCTCAGGGGATCGGCAAGCGGGGCAGCTGTGGGCTTCCGGCTGGGCCCTGGCACTGGGAATGCTGACGGGGTATCCGCGGCCCCCGGGGGAATCCCGGCCTTGGCGGCACGGCTGCTTGTTCTTCCCTGTTTAACTGTAAGGTTCCTGTTTTAGCTTTTCCCGGACTCCGCTAGACGTCCCACTTCCTGAAAGAGAAGAGAGAAAAGCAAACAAACTGGTTCGTGGAGCTGACAGTTTCTCCCTTTGCTCTTTCAGCCGGAGGAGTTCACGAGCCTGCACAGCTTTAAGAACAAAGTCTTTAAAAAGCCCAAGGTCTGTGGGGTTTGCAAGCAGATTATCGACAGCCACGGGATTGTATGCCGAGGTGAGTGCACGTCTGTCGTTCACCCGCCGAGGAAACGGAACCGCAGCAAACACTCGAGCAAAACCCAAATGAAAAACTGCTTTCGGGGGGGGGTTCCCAAACGTTCAGTGGTGGCGCCCCTTCCTGGCGGGTGTTCCCCCACGGCTGCCGGCCGGCCCACTGAGCTTACCCCCTTGCAGCTGGGGAGGAGCGTGGCCAGAAGGAGCGAGGCGGCTGGCCGTGCTGGGGACGCTGTGGCCCTCGTGGCTCGGCCTCACAGTCGCGCGCACCGACCCTCGGCACAGTTGGCAGGCGGGCGCTCTGCACGTCGGGGCCGGGCCTTCGGCCTGTCGTCAGGCTCTGTGGCTGCCGGTGCTCCAACGCTCACGCCCAGGCGGCCCGCTGCTTGTGCAGTCAGAGACCTGTGCAGCGGGCCTGTGGGGGCAGCGGTTCTGGTCCTGAGAGCCCCAGGGTCCCTGCGGGGCGTGGGCCTGTGTCACAGCGTGGGGCGGCTGGGCCTGGAGGAGGAGGCGCGGGCTGCCGGGTGGTGCCCTGTGGTCGGCGGGTGTCGCCGGCGGCCTTCATTTGCGTCGGGCTTGCCTCTTGGTCCCCGTCCTCCCTGAGGACCCGCGGTGCTGTCTGCAGGGCTGTCCTGTGCTGGGCTGTGGGGGCGAGGGTCGGGCGTCCGCAGTGAGGGGGCGACACAGGCCTCTTGGGGCCCCTCTTGCCGGGAAGGGGCCGGAGGGTGGGGGGAGCTGGTGTGGCTGCTCCTCCGGAGGCCCCGCACCCTCCCTCCCTGACCCCCAGTGTCTCTGTCTCCTTTTCTGGGCGCGCAGGCCCCCTCCCTTCTCCCGGAACGGGCTGGGGGCCTCCCCCTCCCCTGGCCCCCGAGAGCTGCTGCCCGGGCCAGAGGGGTTGTGCATTCGGGACTTGGTGCTTCTGCTGGAGGGATCGCTGTGCTGGCTCCAGGCCTCGAGTGGGCACCCGGTGACAGTGTCAGGTGAAGAGGGCCTGTGAGGGACGGGTCTCCTGGGGACTGACTCGTCAACGTGGAGGTGTCTCCCTGTGGATGTGCGGGGGCAGGGTGTGCGCATGCTGCTCCCAGGGCCAGGTTCGGGAGTGGTCAGGGTCTTGCGGGTGTAGACAGGGCCCGGCAGGGTCGTGCGGGTGTCCGTGATTGGCTGCTCAGGGGAGCGGTGGCCTTTCCGTGGTTCTGTTCAGCGCCCCTGACAGCGCGTCGTCAGGTCTGTTCCTTCCATCACGGCAGCGTGGAGACCGCGAAGGAGAGCCCGGGGAGCTTTGTCTCCTGCGAGTCATACGCGTCACGTGCCTCTGCATGTGGAGCCTGTGTGTGGGCCCCGGAGACCAGGACACAGGAGCCTGCTTCTCCCTCTGCCTGGGTCTCTGCTTCTCTCTTCTCTGTGTGTCTCATGGGGAAATAAATCTTAAAAAAAAAAGTGTCTAGTAGTGTTGGTGATGGTGATGAAGGTGATGAAGGCGATGCTGCTGCTGATTGTGGTGCTGATGGCAGTGATACGATGGTGATGGTGGAGGTGGGGATGATGGTGGTGGTGGTGGAGAGGATGATGCTGAGGTTGGCGGTAAGGTGCGTGTAATGATCATGGTGGCGGTGATGCTGGTGGTCATGCCGATTATGGTGGTGATGACAGTTACGATGATGGTGGTGACATCAGTGATGACAGTAATAATAATGCTGGTGTTGATGATGATGATGATGGTGGTGACCTTGAGGGTATCGGTGATAATGCTGATCGTAAAAATGATCATTGCGATGATGGTGGTGATGATGGTGATGAAGATGATGATGGTGAGAATGATGATGGTGGTGGTATTGATGGTGATGATGGTGGTGATGGTAGCGTTGGTGGTGACGATGATGGTGAGGATGACAGTGGTGGCCCCGGGGGTGGTGTTGGTGATAATGGTGACTGTGGTGGTCCTGTTGGTGATACAGTGATGGTAGGGAAGGGCAGGCATGTATTCTGGGACTCAGGTTCCTATTTTTACTGTTCCCTTTCTGGCTCATTCTTTTTTTTTTTTTTTGAATTTTTATTTATTTATGATAGTCACAGAGAGAGAGAGAGAGAGGCAGAGACACAGGCAGAGGGAGAAGCAGGCTCCATGCACCGGGAGCCCGACGTGGGATTCGATCCCGGGTCTCCAGGATCGCGCCCCGGGCCAAAGGCAGGCGCCAAACCGCTGCGCCACCCAGGGATCCCTTTCTGGCTCATTCTTGACCTTCAAGTCCCTTACTTGACGTTCCACCTCCTGTCTTACCTCGTGTTCTGTATGTGGTGACAGTAGAAGAAAAAGCTTCATTTTCACGAAGCTGGGACACTTGCACATAGAGGCTTTCTTATCTCTGATCCTGGAACCTCCCAGGAAAAGGCACAGATGGTAGTGGGGTGGGGATGGGGTTCCGTGTCTGGCTGTGGCTCCCTCAGCTCCCCCGAGCCCCACTGATGCCACCTCAGCTCTGTGCCCTTGCCACTGCTTACGGCTCTGGTACACGTCGCTCCGCCAGGAACCCTCGGGTGGTCGCAAATGGTTCGGCTGTCACTGATGGTGCTTTCGTGAGCCCGACCTGGTCATACTTTGCGTGAGGCAGCGGAAGGCTGCGGCGCAGCGACCTTGGAGTTCTGGTCCTGATGGGTGTAGACAAATGTGAGTTCTGGGGATTTTGCCCTGAGAGGGAGATGAATCCAGGAGGGGCAGGGTCAGACCCAGCAGGAGTGCTCCCTGGAAAGGCTTTGCCCGAATCCCATCGCGGACTAGGAGAGAACAGCCTGGAAGGGAAGCGAGCCAGGGAATGAGGGCAGGAGGCCGAGGAGGGGGAGGAGGCCGGAGGGAGGAGGCACCGGGGCTTTGCCAAGGCTGCTTGGGTGACGGCTCTTCCTGGGTAGAAAACAAATGTACGTTAGGCACCAGCTAGAGTGAGACGACAAGACAGCTCTGCGCTGCGTGTAAGGACGTCACGCCGTGAGGGGGCACCCTGTCCCCGGGGCCGGCAGGGCCACAGTCTGAGGGGTGCCCTGTCCCAGGGCTGTCAGGGCCGTGGTGGCCTCTGCGACGGCTCATGGAGGCCGGGGCCATGGGCGGGGATGTGAGCTGAGCGCCTGCCTTGGGCCACATGTGAGGCGACGGCCGGCTGGTGGGGTGGGGCCTGCCCGCGAGGCCTGGTCCCGAGGCTCCGCAGACGTTGGCCACCCAGCGCCCCGAGACAGCAGGAAGCAACGTCGGAGCGTTGGGCAGGTGCTTGGGCCGTGCTGGGGCCCCAGGCTCAGACACCCGTGACCAGGGGCCCGGTGCGTGGCGTGCAGACAGCGCTGCCGCGGCCCGCACATGTGTGTCTTCGAGGCCGGGAGATGCCCGCGGGCTTCGTTGAGCGTGAGGCGGGACCGGCGCCCACCCGCGCCCACAGTCCGGGTGCCTCGCCCCCTCCCGGGGCTCGGCAGCGTCGGTCTTTGCGAGCCGTCGATGGCTGAGAAGCGGCACGTGCTCTGACTGTAGGCTCCCATTCCATGGTGGTTAGCGGGGGGCGGGCCTGCGAGCGGACACTGAGGCTCCGGTGCGGCCCCCGTCCTGAGCTGGACCTTCAGGTGTTCGCTCGCTCAGAAGCTCAGGGTACCGGAGCACCGGGGGCGCAGTGAGTGGACCCACTCCCCGCCGGGTCACGACCTTGGGGCCGTGAGGTCCAGCTCTGCGTTGTGCTGCACACTCCGGCAGAGTCCGCTCGGGATTCGGCTTCCTGTGTCCCCGCTCAGCGTGTGGGCACTCTCTCTTCTCCTCAGATAAATAAATGAATTTTTAAGAAAATCAGATTATTCATTATCTTTTCTTCTTGAGTTCTCATTCTGTCTTACAGGCACTTGGCATCTCACTGTTACATCCAGCCGCTTACTTGCCAGCCTTTGACGGACTCTGGCTCGCAGGTGTCGGGGGGCGGTTTCTTACCGTTCCGCATTCTGCACTGCAAGCCTTCCGGTTGTTTGTCTGATTCTTTCGTCTGTGGAGTATTTTCATTTATTTATTTATTCATTTATTTATCTGAGATGAAGAGAGAGCACAAGTGGGGGGACAGCAGAGGCAGAGGGAGCAGCAGGCTCCCCGCTGAGCAGGCAGCTCGACTTGGGACTCGATCCCAGGACCCTGAGGTCACGACCTGAGCCAGAGGCAGACGCTCCCCCGCTGACCCCCAGGCGCCCTGTGGAGTGTTTGTCTCAGGAAAGTTCTCAGGTGCGGCTTGTTCAAATCTACCATCATCTCATTTAATCTCTGTGTTGGCTTGTCACTTGAGGCCCCTTCCCGTTTTCTGCGGCCGTAAGGATGTCCTGCGTATTTTATTCTAATATTTCTCCTGCTTTTCCAGTTCCGACCCAGTTTCATGGTTGATTCGTTCTGGAGTTGGTGCTATTTCTGTTACTTTTCATGACTTAGCTGGTTTTCCCCGCGAGAGGTACTGCGCGGTCCACCCTTGCTGAGCCGAGTTGGGGTGACTCCGTCCTGCCCGGCGTTCTCACATGGGGATGAGCCCGTTGGTCACATCTGTTTTGACAGAGTTGTTTTGTGCTGTACGGAGCTTCACGTCTCTTCGCTTGCCTACTGCAAGCGTTATCCCGTAGTAGATTTTTAGAAATCACAGTGTTTCCGTAGCTACCCAGTATTTTATGTACGGACACACACTTTTTTTAAGAATTGCTTTGGCAGGTTCTTTTCTTCATGGCAGAACGTGATCTTTGGTATCATGCTGTTCCGCTTCTCATTCTGTACAACCAGAAGTGTGAGGCTGCCGTGTGTGTATCTACGTGTATGTTTTGTGCTTTTGTTAGTTGTGACTTCGTGGAGGGGCTGGATTCTCCCATCTGCTTCTGTATTCAGCCTGTTTCCGCCTTATATTGGGCCGGGTTTTCCAGAGAAACAGAACCCATGGGATTTGTCATAAGGGGTTGGGCTCATGTGGTTAAGGAGGTTGTGGGTGCTCCAGATCGGCTGGTGCAAGC